GTGACTTTGCCGCTACAAGTTCAGCTGAACACGACTAAGGTACCAATAGTGTACGCTTATGAATTTGCCTTCGAACGTCGGTTTGATCACGAATGGGGTGTAGGGCTGTTCCAGCAATACTGGACCATAGGGTTCCCACTGAGTGCTATCTATGGCGTGCTAATTCTGGCAGGACAGCGGTTCATGAGGGACCGTCCACCGTATGACCTCCGCCCGTCACTAACAGCCTGGTCCCTGGGCCTTGCCATTTTCAGCTGGATGGGTCTACTCCGCTCTTGGGAGGAGACGATCTACATGGCAACTACGTATGGACTTAATTCGGTGGCGTGTGATTCGGTAGGCTTCATTGGGGCTAGTGGCCTGTGGGCGTGGCTGTTTGCTGTCAGTAAGCTGGTTGAGTTTGGAGACACGGCGTTCATCGTTCTACGCAAACAGAACCTGATCTTCCTACATTGGTATCACCACATCACTGTTCTTCTCTACACGTGGTTCAGCTATGCTTACTACACGTCAACAGGGAGATGTTTCCTGCTCATGAACTACACGGTTCATGCTTTCATGTACACCTACTACGCTCTCAAAGCCTCTCGGATCGTTCGTATTCCCCGCAGGGTTAGCGTTTGTATCACCGTGCTCCAAATCACGCAGATGTTCACGGGGATTCTCGTCAATCTCTACGCCCACGTGGTACTGAAGCGAGGTGACACATGCGCAGTTAGTCGGCGCAACTTAGAGGCGTCATTCGTCATGTATGTGAGCTACTTCGTTCTCTTTGCACACTATTTCTACCTCGCCTACTTCGTCAAGAAAGAAGGAAAACTAGAGACTAAATCCAGTGGCAGGAAAACTGACGAGCATCCTTCAGATGTACAACACGAAGCTGAACTAAAGAAGACCCGATAGTTACGACATTAATATTCACTGAAATAATTATAAGTAGAGACTTACAGATAAAGATGCTTTGAAATAGTCACGATACTTCCGTTTTATCAATTCCAGATTGATTTTCAATACTTATAAACATTAGGGAGAAACATAACTTGAAACAAAACTACTGCTGAAAGATTACTGGACAATATAACATGTTATTTTCTTTAACTTTAGTCGATTTTCCTGGAAACAAATCCCAAAATGCAACAGCTAATAGGGGAAAACATATCAAACGATCTAGCACAGGAAGTTTGACATTGATTTACAATCATAATAACGTGATTATTGTTGAATTTGTAGAGAATTTTAAAGCAACCATCGGCACAAATCTGAACGTACCTTTTACCAGTACGGATTTGCAGGATGTTTTTAAAGTAATCTCAGTGAAAATAATGAAATTACGAGTCTTTAAAATAAAAGAGTGCAGCACTAAAAGAGTGCATTGTTTCTCCTGGTCAGATATTTAAGGCATAGTGCACCACAAACACTGTGCCAATAATTTCTTCTACAACCAAAGAACGACCTCATTGTATCGGTATTGTATCATCGTAAAACTAACAATCTTTTATTGCCAAGTTATTTACACCCTGCAAGGTTTAAGTTCCCACACTGAAACAGCAAGGACATAATATGTTATACACGATGCAATTGCTGACAAAATGGAAGTACGGCTTTTATATTAGTAACAGACCAGGAGGCGGCGGATTGGGTCTCACGGTCACGATAAGACTTCGCATGGGAGAAATAAAAGGCCACTTCCGAATTATTCGGCTGCGTATGGAAACAGAGCCTGGAGGTTGACAATTGCATGATGCTACACTTCCAGAAACTTAACGTGAAAAGATTTTTAGAGAGATTTTTCGTTCGTTTTCTTACTATTTATAAAAATCACCTCCGGAAAAGGCCCTTATAAAATATTTACTAGCATATTCCTTTATGCAATTTGAAATACTGCCTGACCTGAAAGTGACATATTGTACCAAAAATTGACGCACCACGTCCCCCAAAATCAAAATGAGTGACGACCAGTGTAGCTCGGTGTAAACAATTTTTGGTGAAGACCTATTTTAGTAAGGCGTCAAAGATATAAGTACATTGACCACAATTATGATCCTCTTGACGAAAGGGGAAAATACAAAAATACCGGTTGACTTTACGCGTGTTCTCATTTACATGACCTCAGTATTAAAAGGGGAAACAAAACAGAATTTAAAAATACAAAAAGCATTACTATTTAGAAATGCAGAAAAGGTTTTAAAAATCCTGAAACGGGGTCAATTTTTTTTCTCGTTGCCGTAAACGGATTACAAATGACATCTATTCTGTGCCCAATTTGGCACGGGTTTTCAAGTGACCTGGTGGCTCTGTCCTTCACAAATGTACCACACTGAAGTTGAATAAGGAAATCATTGGCACTGGCCAGTAATTCTGATTTGAAGAATATTTATTCAAAGACTTTTAACATTGTTTAACAATGCATATCATCAACACGTTCCGTTAATATTAGAACATGATTAGTCGACCCCATAAAGTGTTAAAACAAGTACTTTTAACACAGCCATTACAGTTATAAAAAGGGTATTAAACAAATCACCTGAGATTTTAATAGTAGATTAATTCAGTAAAAATATTTCCATAAAAACAGGAAAAGTACAGAATAGAAGAGTGATTGGGCAAGGCACATGACACAAAGAACATTGTGGCAATATACGTGTACATGTGTATTAAATTTTAACATTAACATACATTGGAACATTCAATTTTGATGATCCATTTAAATGAAACAATTATAACAAAACATGTTGTCTGCAGGCCAAATGAACAATTTCATCCAAAATAAAACACAAAATTCCAACTTTTCCTACATTTTCACTTCTGTCCAAGGAATTTTCATGCCCCTTCCTGAATTATGAAACACTTTAGACCAGTATCACAAATACGCCACACTAATATAATACCACACCATAAAATTTGTGTCAATCTTTCATAGAAGTTCGCTGACTTCATTTGAACTATTGACAGGCCAAATATTTATATTTGTTTTTGTCATATTCTACAGTCAAAAACAATGTATGTGGAACATACAACATCAACTGTCTCAAAAAGTGCAAGTCATGACGAGTGAGTCAACAGGTGAACAAAAGAGGTGCACCCATCCCCCCTTATTTAAGCTAACAACTTGTCCAGCTGTCTGGCAAACAACTTCTGTGTACAAGTAGGCAAAGTTTGCTTGGTAAACTTCGTAGATCAAAGAAAGTACATCTCCGACAGGGACATTAATCCCCAGGAGGAAAGATAGGGGTATAAATGTATCCCCCCCAGTTAACAAGGGGAAATGGATTATTGGATCATTTCCCTCCAACCCCAACCCCCCACTTTTTGTGGCGAGCAGAAAAAGATTTTGAGGTATTTTTTAAACTTCTTAAAGTACTGAAAAAGGGAGACAAATACAAAAGCTTTAAATATGCCATTTGATATCACATCAAGTATACATTAGGTGTACACGTACATTATGAAAAGCATCCCCTAGTGTCACGTGGTGTCCAGTGATTCCCCCCCCCACTCTTTTCCAATTTCCCACTGCTAGGCAAGTTTTTGGTTTAAGCCGTCTCCCATCCTCCCCACTCCCTGGCATAGATTTATGCCACTGATCTCAAAAGATCCATTTTGTCATATCCCTCTCAGTTTATTCAACCAGCACTGTGATACGTACTATACATACGAAAAATATTCCTCTGCCTTCAGTTGTTGGAGGACTTACATTGTAATTTCCCGTGCAACTCAATCTGTTCCATCATTTGTCTAAAAGTGGCAAATAGCTGGCTTTTTCCACCAACCCTTTTTTGGTAAATTCTAAATGTGAGTTATTGTACATACCAGAATCCAAAACAACATAATTGGTGAATTTTTTGAATACTGACTGAGAATCATGTATTGCAACTAAAATAAATGTTTTAAAATCAAGATTGAGTAATCTTCATAACAGTATTCTGGTTTGAAGAATGGCATTTTGACATCATTGTGATTTAATTAGTTCTTTGGGTTTTTTCAAACGCAGAAATGCAGCGAAATAGAAATTTCCAAACAGGAAGATCATGGTCAGGCAAAAGAATATGGAGTAGCCACAGAAACCATGATACTGGTAACCAGTGATGCAATGAACCAGAATAATTAGGAATTGGGTGATCTGAATCTGGGTCATCTGCTTCTTCCAAGACGGTGGGTTGTCAGGGTTTGCAGCGCAGCGACCGTAGTAGAAATAAAGACAGACATGGACGAGTGAGTTTAGACATAAGGAGAATGCAACAGCAGCCCAGGGAGTAAGTAGATACGAAAACTCAGCAAGGTTGATCATACTACCATGGTGGTAGACATGCAGGAAGGAAATTTGTCGGCGTTTGTGACGCAAGATCATGAAGATGGTGTCTAGGAGCTCAATGTATTTCGCTATGCGATAGAGGAGGAAGGCATATTCAAGCACCGGTGTGGTTTCCATGCGAAAGACCGAACCAATGTCTGCCATGCCATATGCAAACATGGCAAAGGTGCCAACGCTAAGGAGGCTGCAACCGTAGTTATACATTACCAGGATCTACAGCAACAATTGTTAGGACAAGAAGTTGTAAGTTTGTTTGTAAGGGAAATATAACAGAAGGTTTCATATGCACACCATTTCACCACTCTCCAAGTTTCTCTATGTAGCATTTATTTCTTAACTGCCTGCTGTATGTACAAGTACATGTACATGCAGCTTCAGACACATGCAACATGGGTCAGGTGCTCGAGATTTCCCCTTTCTACACTTTACCAAGTTCTAGCAACTCTGTATGTACATTTATTGTGTGTTTAGCAAAGTGGGAGGAGGTTATAATCTGGGTGAAAAGACTTTTATACAGATATTACACTTGTTAAATCTCAGGCTCATGATCCTCATTTATAACACATTTTTCAGATAACCACAAACTTCACAGTTATGGGATAGCTCACTACAAATACAGTCTAAGCAACTGACATGGTGATCCTCTCTCTACAATGTCTAGAACTTCTTCCATGATACAAACAGAACTTACCGGTCTGAAGTCCATAGGTTTTGTCACTTTTTGGTAAAGCGGCGATAGAAAGACCATGAACAGATAGCCGATCATCACAGGAAATGAGTTGAGACTTATGAAAACATTCAGCACCTTCAGAATACCCATTGTGAGCCTTGGAATGTTGGATCTGGGGTTTCAAAATAATAACACACAAATGTCAGTGTGGCAGGACATGTGTGTGTAAGTCACTTTATAAGGCACCAGGTATTATGTTGGTGCAAGAAAAAGCTGCCACTTGGTCCTTAGGCTGGCTCTGTACCATATGAAAGATACATGTAGCTCAAAATAACATTTGGTACCTTTTGGTCTGGGAACCAGACTAATACTTGCAATGCCAGATTTTGTACTTGGATATATGTATAATTATAATAAATCGCCACCATTTTCCGTTAGAAGTAAGTAGCTGTGATGTAGACCTATATACAAGTATTCTTTCACAGAGTAGGGCATGTAAGAAAACAGTTTCTTTGCTCCGTCTTTGATTCTACAAACATGTCACCCCAAGGATAGATGTTTTATTCCAATTTAGGCAAGCATCCATGAAACAATTCTAGGCAAACATAAGAAATACATAGAGTTTCAGCCAAACTGTGAAAAAGTGTTATTAAACATTTTAAAACTTTACCGATGGCAGGACATATTGATGTCCCGGATGTCATTCACCAATGGAAATGTGATGTGTGTAACTGTTACTAGAGTCATCTGTTCTTTGCTCTATGGTTGAGTTGACTAAGTCCAACTTACGCTACCTGTATTTCCTTCACATGTAACCTAATGTTAACCACCACCAGTAACCGGTCACTTCGGTACCTTGCCAATCGGCACTTGCCAACTCGTCATCTTGCCAATTCAGCACCCACCAACTCCGCACCTTTGCAATAGCCAACTCGGCACCTTATACAATATATTTTGGTAAGATTTCTAGCCGAGTATTGTCCTCGCACTGTGACTCTTTTGGGCAGCTTGTAAAAAATCATGGAAAGCCGTAAATCAATAAAAAATTGTCAGGTCAGTACTTTCACAGCTTCACTCACAACATAATAGCACTGCAATTTGAAATATCTTTTGTCATACTCTACAGTCATCAAAATTCTTGAATCAAATGAACATGTCGAATAGAACCAATTTTAAGAGTCTCCAATATTTAAAAATTCACTGATATGAAATTCTCATTTTTTTTCGAATGAGCAAAGGTGATGCAACTGGGATTTTTCATGCTTGGTTTATGATGAACGATTACACTTCTTTTGAAAGATTTACTGGATGTGATTGATTTGTCCTTTAATTCGAGTGTTCATTGGAAGATGTACATTTTATGCGGGATGTGCATCTGCACGTTCAAACAGGCATTTGACGCCCGCGAATGTGATAAAAAAATTGTAGTGTTTGCATAATATAATAAAACCTCCCTATTATGGCCAGGATGAGGCAAGGTTATTTTTCTTCTTTTTGAAATTAAAGTCAGACTTTTATTTCAAATATGGGTTTCCTTCAATCTTCCTCTTTGCATGTGAACCTCTTGTTTCTTTGTGAATTTCTTTGTCGGTTTTGTTGTAGTAATTGGGTTACCAAAATCAACAACAACAAAATTTCAGTATAATTATTACATTTACTAAGCTCATTTACAGAATAAGGACCAATTGGTTGCAAGAGTTGGTGCCAATGATCGTCAGATGCCAGGTCGGTCAGGTGCCAAGTCAGTCAGGTGCCGAGTTAGGAAATGCAGACCCGAGGCAAAATTTAGGTGCCGAGTACTAGTTGGCTACATGTACATGTAGGTACCGACTAGGTGCTGAGTTTGAAAGGTGCCGAGTTGACGAGGTACCGAGTTGGCAAAGTGCCGAAGTGACCAACATTCCCACCACCGGATTAAGGCTGTCACAACTCTCTCATTTTCAAGCATTTCAACTCAATCAAGCATGTCAGTGTCACCTGTCACTGTCAGTGTCAAGTTGGTCGTCTGCTAAAAATCGCAAGAAAATGGTGCAAAGCATTTAGCACGGCACAGTATACAAATGAGCAATGTAATTTGCATTATACAGTTTGCAAATGTGCTGACCCAGGCCTACCAATATTTGTTCACTTCTGTGGAAAAAGTGCTGCACTTTTTTCGTGTTTCCCCTCGCTCACGTCTCTCGCCTCAATCCATGCAGTCCGACCCTAAATTGTCTGATTCCCTCCTCTTACGTAAGGTATTTCATGAGAAACAAGGGTTTTCTGCGCCACCCGACTTATTAAAACCTTCGCGTATAGAGGGCGCTATGTAGTTTACATTGATTGTTAGTGACTAGAAAGCTTGTACTTTGTACTTGCAGGACTTTCATTTTTGCAGAACTTGCAGGAAATAAGTTCATCAAGTTGTATTTTGGTGCTCTAGCCGAAGAAAAAACGGTTAGTAGTGTAGTATAGAACATGAAAAAGTCTATAGAAAGAAACATCCGCAAAGGTTTTTTTTTTTTGCTTTTCTTAATTTGGATCTGTTGTTCAAACCTTACACAATTTCGCTCCGAAGACATTTACTTCAAATAAAATAATTCTTCTTTCTTATTTGGTAGGAAATACACATAACATGTAACTATATACATATAACTTATTAAACTGGGAGTACACTGACTCCACAACCAAAAGATTTTCTTCGAGTTTTGGCAAGGTTTGGCTGGAATTTCTATGTCCTGTTAAAAAAGTGTTATGTTGCCTGCCGCCCCTGGACTGCGAATTCATGATCAATTGTATCACCTGTTTTCGTTAACAGCGCCACCAAGAGTTTCGTTCTTTATCAGATGTACGGCTGTTTACTGTAATGGTTTTGTCCTTATTCTTTGTCCTGTGCCCATTTTAATGCATTGGGTGTGAGTACACGCCGTACACTTAAAAAAGTGTCGCAAACAGTTAAGAGAACTAATCGAGAACATTAACAATACTGTGAAAAGTAGTGACAGACTGATGACCGATATGGTAATTTATCAAGTTCTCTGAAGCTACGGTAACGTTAGAATTCCTTGGACAATTTAATCGTCTTCTGGGCGTCTTGCATATCTTTACGGTTTCTACAATCGGAATGCAGAGGATTGATGGTAAGGCGCATTTTTGGTGTGATTTTTGCGACACCTTTGCCACTTCCATGACTTTACTATACTAACGTTATTTATTGTTGGCAAATGCCATGGTAGGGTATAGGGCCTATTTGTATTTGTTTTCGAAGTGGGTATTGTTACGCCACTTGTAACGCATTTCTCATTTTCTATCATTACGGCACTGAACTGCGCAAGTGCGATGACGTAGCTGATCGTTATGACGGTGTTATGTGTATTTTAAAATTAGGCTTAACCTAACGCGTGTTGCCGAATGGTCAAAGTGGAAGGTTTGGAATCACTGGTGTGCAAGCCTGAATCTGCGCCTGGACTATTTTATTTTTTTCGCCTAAATTTTATACCATAATTGTTTTTTATGTTGGTTATTAATTGTATAGGCCTAAGCAGGAATCTATTTTCTTTTCTCATCGGAGGCTTTGGAGGATTTTTTTTAGGGAAAGTCCGAACTCTGCGCTTAAGTTGGAATGCTTGTGTAGTTGCAGTGCCGTAACGATAGAAAATGGGAGATGCGTTATGGCTGCTGTAACAACAGCCACTGCGATTTGTTTTTCCCCCGCTAAGTCCAAACATGACTCATGAGGCCTAGGCCCTAAATAAAAAGATTTACACAGTTTTCAACAGTATTGTCTGCACATTGACCACCATCATGCATTATTCATTTAACCACCTGCTGCCAGGTGGGTTTAATTTGAAGTTGCATGACGAATTCCTGGGGGATTTTCAATTCAAGATTTTCTGTTTTTTCAAAATTCTTCAAAAATTTATTACTTCATTTACCGGACGTTAACACCCACACGAATGACTGTCTGGTGCCAGTGGTGGCTACTCTGATCTGACTGACAAATTCTATTGACACCCAAGTATTTCAGCCAGGCCTGCGGCCTTACATGTACATCATGTAAAGAGAGCCCAGATTGTGTGGTGTTACGTAATTTTCTTCTGTTCCCTGAACCTGGCCCCGTGCTATTGACTCGTTAACTGCAGTAGGGTTACATGTAGGCCTAACATGCGTGACCGTATAGTCACCAGGTCCCTTATTTCATCACTTACTGTGAAAATCAATCAGACTTGACATTTCAAATGTCTATAATCTATAATTTTCAAATTGGACAAGATAATGGCAACTTTAATGAGAAATTTTAATATTCTGATGTCTCCTTTTGGCCCCGTTCGGCAGGTATGATTTGATTGGGTTTTTTTTTAATCGTTTTTTAATGATTACTTTCCAGGCAATCATTGCAGTTTCCCTTCAGTAAGGCAGTCATGTAGATCTACAAAAAGTTCATTATAATTTAGGATAAAATGTACAGTATGTTAGTTTACAATATTTTTGAGTCCCTACCCACATGTACATACATTGTGTACTGCCACAGTGTGCCCAAAAAGATTGTGTCCAAACACAAAGCTGACAGCCATGTACATTACATTTACAAGACTACACATGGAAAATATGTACATTTCCTGAAGTAGATTTTTACAAATGTTGACCAAGATATTTACCTCAATCGATGCCTACAGGCATACAATGTACAGTGCCTGTATACATGTATGAGGCAAAAAGAAGCATGATGTTTGTTTGATCACAGCCTAATGATGTATGTACATGTATAGCAAGGAGGTTTATTTATTGTAGCAATCATCATCAGTATTTACAGCCAACAAAATGTTCATTTATTAAATGAAGTGACCACTACAGGCTTAACAAAATAAGAATGACTTACTCCTCATTTTGAAACAGCTGCCAAATAATTGAGTCCGTAAAGTCCTTGTGCCAAATATTATTCTAACCCTTTGGATTGACCGGCATGCATTAATAATATTTGTACTGGTGCAGTAATAATGCTGTGTAAACAAATCTGTCTGTGAATCTGGTCTTGTGTCCTACTATATTGTTTGTGCTAGACCTTGGAACATTTACCTCAATTTGTCCTAATTGGACTAGGTCTCTTGGGTGTTGTTTGAGTGTAGTTGAGCCAGTTGGAGGGTTAGAAGGGAGCATGGGTCAGGAAAACGGATAAGTTGGAACAGTGAAGAGGAATTCACTTGTGGGATAGGAAGGAATAAAGATCTTCATTTTCAAATTGCAAATTGTGGGAACCAAAGATACATACATGTACTTTCATGTGCATAAGCATACACCGGTGATTTGAATACAAAAAGCTGGTGATTTTTATTTCGTTTCAGCGTGAATTCACCTTATTCAGCATTACATGCTTCATTTAATAAATTTATCTGTCCACTTTAACATCACACACATAAATTTGTCCAGGCACCTTTTTCCTTGGAATATGCAAAGTGGCCATGAATTATGCTCCTACATGTAAGCCAGCATTCTCAGTGATGTACTGGTATGGTAAAAACACTTATAAAATACACCTGTTGTTTTTGTTTTCATGTAGTTTCATTAAGCGTATGCATACACATATTATTGTATGGAAAAGGACTTTGAACTTGCTTTGAAATAATAATAAATTTGAGTCTTGAAAACGATAGAAGTTTGCGGCAGCGATATTAGTCAATGGCAACAGCAGTGCGATGTTCCACAGTTTTTAGCCTTCAAGGCCTTTGTGCTGACATTAGGATTCTGCAGCAGTGACACAAGACCTGCTTGTTGCAGTTACCCTTTTAAGGGGATTTATGCTATGAAATGAGCAATTGTTCTGTGTCAGTGGGGTGGTAAACAAGGAAACCAAGGCTTCCATAGGGAGGAGGAACAGATTGCTGACTGTGTAATGATACTGTAAATGATCAATTAAGTTTTTTGCGACACTGCTTCTGTAGTACTCTTGAGGTTTGGGGTAAATAAAATTTTAAAAATTGGCCAAGATTGGTTAATAAAAAAGTAGCCAAAATAAATATCAGCAGATCCATGATCAGATATTTCTTTAAACAGTATGTCATGGTTTACTTATTACAAGTAAATTTTATGTTTGCATGATAATTCATTTTCAGATACATACACATACATTACGTGTACATGTAGGGACATCCTCGGCAAAGTATATGGAATTGTGCAGTTACTATGGTTACAATACATTTCTATACTTGCTCTGATTTCAGTCAATCTAATTACTTAGAAAAAGAGGATTGTTACTGCACGTACATGTAGCAACCACTTAAATAACACCAACTGGGACATCATTTTACATGTACATGTGTACCTTGCTCATTCTATAAATTTTAGGTCCAGTTTTTTCATATCCCTGTGTCACATCTGATGTACATGTATCACTTTTCAGAGCACATTCTTCAATTTCTAAAAGCAATTAACTTACGTTAGCAATGCAAATTACCTGCAAAACAAAAATTGTTTGAAATAAATTTCAGTGGCATTTTCACATGAAGTTCCAAAGGTAAAGTGTAACAGGGACACAGCAGTGTCACAAATGTGGACCCCAAGTGTATAGAATGACCCACCTGTATCCATTAAAAATTAACCCTGACAATTTGCAATCTTCCAATCATATGAGGATTGCGGGCTGTTTGAGTCATTAGATTTTAGTTTGCTTTCTACACTCAAAGGCCTGCCATTAATTTGCTGTTTTACCACCATGGACTGCTTGAGAATGCATTTTGGTCTTTTATTGTGTAATCCTAATGGCATATACACCTGTGCTTGTATGTGTGTGCAAGTACTGGTACCACAAAAAGGGAAAAAATGACATTAATACCATTGTAATAAGCAATCCATGTGAAAAATTTAGTGATTCCTCCTGCAAGTAACCTGAAAATATGTACATATGTGTAGGTAATGGATGCGTTGCCATGGAATTGCCCTTTGAAAAGCAGTATTTTAAAAAGTGGATAATGATGGATTAGGATGTTTATTTGAAGTTTTAAAATGATGCATTTGGCCCTATGAACAAAATTTGTTTCTTCTTTAATGAGGTCATTGTTTTATTTTTTATGCAGGATTTTTTCCTTAGATCAGACCTCTGGATTAAAACTTCCTCTTGACGTCAGGAAAATGCACATCTAGATTTCCTTGGGTAACTTCTCCAAAAAGCCGTACACACTGTGCATGTGTATGTGTGCGGGGGCGTCGTCTAATTATTCAGGATGCCTTTAAAAGAGATCGCCGTTACTCCAATCGTACCTGAGAAAGAAGACAATGAAATGGAAGAGTTGGGCATATGTAACCATGGAAGTGAGACAGAAAATGTTAAGGTATGTGAACATATTCAATAGTCTAATGTTGCATGTAGGACAAGACAGGAATATTTCACAAAAGCATATTTTAACAGCATAGGAGGGCAGTTCTCTTCATGGAAACATTGCTAACTGGGCCAATTGCTAACGTTTTCATTTTTGATGCAATGGGAAATCTTTCACAAAAGCCAGGAACTATTGAAACAGCTTTTCTCTGTTTCCTGTCGAGTTGAACTGCTACATGTATATTTGGGATGGGAAACAAAGCTCTTGCATTTTGGAGTGTGGCCAGGGGTGTGTTTCAGCATGAAATGAAAATCATTTCTGAAGTCATGTGTTAGTAAATGAAAGGTGATAGTTGTTGGCAAAAATAACAAATCAGCAAAATACCAAACTAATGATGAACAAAGTTCTGCAAACATATCTGAAGAGAAATGGTTGTGGTTCCTTGCCTATATTACCATCCCTCTGTGCACTCCCAACCCCAACTTTCTTCATTTCATATTCTCATAGTCATGATGCACATGTATATAAACCATGCTGGAAACAACCAACCTTTTTTACCAAGCCTGCTGTGATGGAAGAAGATTGGTCTGCTGATATAGGGGATAAAAATTACACAGTTGCCATGGGAACCAGTGAGACGCAGCGGTAATTAAAATGCTGCCATATGAATCAACACAGTGATCACACACACTGTGGATGGATGTGAAATACGTACACTCTGTGTTTAGTTAGTTCCCTACTGCTAACAAATACAGGTACCGTACACACAAGTATTGATACCGTACATGTACGGGTTAAAATATGTTGAAAGGCCTTCTCTATGTTAGGGAAAGAATTTCTTTTGCTTCTGGTAGGAAAGTCCAAACCAAGTTGTTGGAACAAACTCTTGTTCCCACAACACTTTTTGATGGAGGGGAGGGATGGGCTATTAAATCATCCCCTCCCACGTTTTCCCATTGAGAAAAAATCAAAGCGATACTGTATTCAAAAGCACTGAAAATGGCAGAATTCTACATGGACCTGTACATTTGTAACTATGCAAAAGCACTTTGCCATTTAAAGGAACTTCCACAATGTTAGGCTTATAAACTATTGTCAGTTTAGAAAAACACATTAAAAAACAAACAAAAACATTATTTTGATTTATGTATACCCATGTGCATGGATTACTGTAGTACAATGTATCTGAATAATTGTGCCATTTAACTATGCTAGCCGTTTATTTAGGTGGTTGAAATGGTTTATTAAAGAAATCTAGTGCTAAAACTTGATTCAAAAACAAATGAATGAGTCGCATCAATTTTTGTAATAAAGCATACATACGGGTGTACCAGGCGGGATTTCCAGAGTTCCAAAAAATCAGACCTGCTCCATTTTTTTCTTCAAACATGTCAAAAGTTTAAAAGGGGAGGCTTTTCCAACAGACAATTCTAAAATGTTAAAGGTGGGTCTACATGTAATTGACAATGTAACTCTTACCCAACTACTAGCAATGAGCTTTGCACAGACATTATCATTGAACCTAAGCACAAGGAGCAACAGTGCATATCCCACTATGCTTTTACCAAACTGTCTCCAATTATTGTCGTTGGCTTTCTGCGGTGCTGGCCTTTTTTGATTGGCCAGTGTTTCACTCTTATGGAGACACCTGTCAGTTGCTTTATCATTGATTAATTGAATGTAAGATGATTGCAGTTGTAGCATTTTGACATGTACCAAGCTCATCATAGGGGTAATATTTTATGAGAGAGTTTGTCCACTGTAAAAGCAAACAATTTTTCAGCTGGAGGTGAACTGATAAACATGGATTGGTGGTTAAACTGTTGAGGGTTTTACTCTATCAGTTTAACCATTGGCTTTCTCTTAATTATATTTATTTAAATTCGGTTGGAAGGTTTAATTACAGTATATGGAAATTAATTAATTGTTTTTTTGGTTTTTTTTGTTACTATTCGTCGGGTTTTGTGTTGATACTAAAGTATACAATGTACATATGTATGTACACGTAGCAGTGTTTCTCTACAGATATTGTCATTCACACTGACCACGCTGATAACTGCAAGGAATTTGCAGAGTTAACGTCAACCAGACTCACTTTCATCTCTAATGCTCTTTTAGTTCATCCTCAATCAATACTTTCCCGACACTGGCTCCTATTTTAACCAGTATATTAAGGAACCTGTTTTGATGCCTTTGGTGGTTGTGTAATATCAGTTAAATACAAGGTGAACTTTGCTCTTTCCCGTGGAAATGCTGGATGAAAATGAATCTACATGGAAAAATTCTGCAGATGTACAATACATGTTAACATAATGGAGTTTTCTGGTGCTGGTACGTGTATGTAACAAACATGGACAACAGAATCTGTAAACGCACACACTAGTACATATACGTCGAGTTAGATGTACTGGTAGATGGGAATGAGGCAACCGGCTGTGCTCTTGAAGTAAGCAGTACATGTTAAATTATACCATTGAAAGCTCTATGTATAATCTTTTAAAGGGTTTGCACACATTTACTGTGCTAATGCGCCAAGTTGAAGCCCTGATTAATACATTTTTTTTACCGTTTCCTAAAATTTAATTTTAGGTTAAACGTGAGAAGCAAGAATCCCTTGCTAAGACAAACTCTGCCTTTGCTGCTGATACAAAAGACACTGCCACATTAGAGCAAGAGTCTGACAAGGATGATTTACAACAGACCAGATCCTCACCAGTCAACCAAACAGTTTCCTTGTTCACAGCATCCTCAGAGAAGAAGGACATGGATAGCAGTGACCAGGGCGAGGACAAAATCAAAACGGAAACAAAAGTTGGCGTGTTGACACGCAACAGCTCAACACAGTCCTCAGTGTCAGTGACATCATCCCGCAGTGACATCTGTCGGATATGTCACTGTGAAGGCGATGAGGAATCACCATTGATCACTCCTTGCCTCTGTTTAGGAAGTCTACAGCATGTCCACCAAGCATGCATACAACAGTGGATCAAAAGCTCCAACACCAAGGCGTGTGAGCTGTGCCGATTTCCATTTATAATGCAGACAAAACTTAAACCTGTTGGAAAGGTAATTTATTGGATGTATAAGTACATGTAGTCATTACTCAAATTTCACATCCTGTATATGTTGCTTGTTTCTAACGATTGTGATCGATGGCCAACATGTGATTGGAGCAGTTTTTTCTCAGAAACTTTTTGAAATTTGGTGCATACAAAGTTGGTATGTTAGGCCCTGCCTACTCTGACACTTTTTACATTGTGCATCACTTAGAACGTAAGTTAATACATGTAAACAGGATGAATGAATTAAAGACAGACAGACAGACAGATCGATAACTTTGCAGTTCGAAAAATAATGTCACCCCTAAACAAATTTCATCCAACGGCAGGAAATTGTTTTGAGTCCATCCAAGCAAACTAATGAAGTTTTGTGTAACCATCAATTTTATCCTTCTTTTTGTCATGCCTTATCCTATTTTGATTTCAATTTTGACCCACAGTGGGAGAAGTTAGACATGACTACTAGTGAGCGACGTAAGATCATCTGTTCGGTATCATTCCATATCATTGCAATCACGTGCGTCATCTGGGCTCTATACGTCCTTATTGATCGTACCAGTACAGAGCTTCATACTGGCGGTCCAAACAGTGGCATCAAAGAATGGCCGTTTTGGACCAAGATTGTTGTCGTGGCGATCGGTTTCACAGGGGGACTGGTGTTCATGTATGTCCAGTGTAAAGTCTACTTGCAGCTCTGGCGACGGCTGAAAGCGTACAACCGCGTCATCTACGTACAGAATTGTCCCCCAGAGGAGAGACTCAAAGCTAAGCAGGCTAAGACCCTTCCAGAACCACCACCCTCTCACATTGAAATCATCAACTGAGAAATATTGGATATCTACATGTACATGTACATGTATCTGGTCTTACTTCAAGTAGAAGATTATACAAGAAGCATGTGTATATATACAAAATGTAATCACATACATGTACACCAAGAATGCCATGTGTTGTAACTTTAAGGTAGACATGAAGTTGCAGTGGTTCTGAAGCATACCTGTAGCAGGTTGGGTTTTTTATGAGCAGTACATGTTGGCAGCAGCTTGTGTCCAAAAAAAGAAGAAAGCATGTTATCTCTGTGCACATGGAACATTAAATTTACATCTCGCCAAAATTGTTCTCTCATCAAACCTGGAGTACTGATATGTTAATCACAAAATTTGAAGGTCTCCATTTTTGGCCATTAGGGAGTGAGTTTAAGTGACGAAATGCTTTGTTAGTGTTGCTGGCTGCAGAAGATGTTTCTTTGTTCCAGACTAATACAGATACACACCGTACTTGACCATTTTTTTCAAATAAGTAAAAGCAAATTGCAGGATTCAAATTTAGTCAATAAGTACCAATATCAGTCTGCCATGTGGTTGACACTCGATGCACATGTGTGCGTGTTTATTTGTACCAGTACAATGTATATTGATTCCAAGTTCTAAGTTGGGCAATTATCAAACTGCACAGTGAAGTTATTTGTAGTATATTTTTTGTCATGTGAAGAAGAAACCTACATGTATCATATCCATAAAAATCGTGAAAAAGCACCATTCCTCTTGTTTTTCAATTTTTAATCTGCAAATCTTGTCCATTTTTCAAATATGCCAAAAATACTAGCATTATGAATTTATGCTAGAACATTTTGAAAGCAAAACAAAATCATACATCAGAGTTTAGAGAAATAGAAAGATATATTTATTACCTTCACGTACCAGAAAGTAAAGAGGGTATACATGTTGCTTCAACAATTTCTCGACCCACCACCTCTCTTACTAAACAATCAGTGAACATTGTCACATTTGAAGTAATCGCTACAAAATTTATTTCTGACCATTTACAGGTGCAATATTTGTCAGTTGCAGTGATTTTTATTTAGTATCTTACATGTACATGTATATCAATTAAGCTATACTTGGCTGAATTATGTAACAACATCCTATCATCCGACCCACAGAATCTCTGCATTATTGTCAGTTTCGTAAACATTACATGCAGTGCCTTACTGAGTACTTAAACCTTGCATAAAAATAGAAAAAAGGAACAGAGTATGCTATTAAGTAATAAGTTGAACATTTAATGTTGATTCCTAAGAAAAGAGTTTGAATTTCAAAAATATAATGTACAGTATTTAATGTATTTACTTGTAAATGTGTCTTCATTTTCTGCACTTGATATACATGTATATATTACATTGCATAGTTTTCAAGCTGCCATGACACTGCTGGAGTTGTATGGGAATAGTGTAATGTGTGCCAGCAAAAGTTCTGTTTACTTTGGTACATGTACTCGTTTATTGTACCATTCCGTAGGGTCAAGATGTTATGGTATGTTTCTGTTGTACAGTTGTCATCTTGTAACTCCATGCTCAAGTAGGGATGTAAACTGTGTACTGTTGTCTCTGTGTTTTCATCTATTTACACAGGGAAATGTTAATGACAATCAAAGTATTTTATGACCACAGAAAGCGCACCTATTTCAAAACTTTATTTCACCCTTTCTGTTCGGAGGAATTTACGTTAAATCTTCTCATAGCCACAAGAAATAAACCAACTCTTACTTTTAGTGTATGATATAGTGCAATCATGTTAACTGTTGGCAAAGTGATCATGTGAATGAAAAATAAAGTGATTTAATATATTTGAAATGAAGCAAAACAAGAAATAAAGAACTGCCAAGGTTAAACTGTGGAATGGAAAATGTTTGTTGTGTTTGTGAATTTACGCTGAGGGATAGTTAGTCTCATATCTACACATACATTTGTCGGCAGTAATATGTAGTGTTGTTTTTTCTTATTTATGATTTCACCCATTGCAACCTTTCCCCCCCTGCAGTTCATTGAATAAAATGAGTACTGCAAGATGTATCTCTGGCAAGCTGAATCTACATGTTGCGTATAAAATGTGACACATACCATGTGTCTGATCAGTGTGATCAAGCAAGCGCTGAACTTTTCCTCCCCCCCTTCCCATCCAGCCTTAAATGGGGACCAATTTCACTCTGCAAATCTGGCCATTGAACAGCACTGAAATTGGGCCCAGGAAACACCGCTTTGGGGAAATGTTGTGCACCCCCCAACATTTCTTTCCATCAAATCTCACCATACCATACTGGTTGATGAAATTACCACACTGACTCGTGTGTATGTAAGATAACAATACCATATGCACCTTTAATACTGTTGCATCATCGCACCTGTTTACAATAAAAAAGCCTTTGTAAATTTTAAGTAAAAATAAATCTTGGGACTTCAGGATAAAATATTTTAGCATTTAATAGTGTACTAAACTTTTAGTGATGCACTAAGGCAAGACACATTGTCCCTTCAGTCAAATGAAAAAGGTTTTTACTGGCACAAAAACAATTTCACGAAGGTTCTTATCCAAAACTGATATCAGAAGCACAAAGGCTTCCATTTAAATGCAAATAAGGCAAACTAGATGTACATATTCAACTTTTTAACTGAAGTACATGTAGATACAGATCAGTGTGTTTTAATACATACATGTGGTTTCTTTTGTTTGTTCTTCAACTAATAAAGCTCTACATATTACATCTGTAACCCTACCAGCATTATTCCAAGGTCCTTAAGACTACACGCCAAGTGAAATTAATACTTTTAGAAAATTTCCTACATACCCTGGTGTTTGAGTTTCAGTTCTTCAAAATAGTGGGAAACTTACCAATCAAGTTAGCAAGAACAATGTACAAATATTTAAAATTATGGACAAAGAATGTACTTTTCCTTATTTGCCTCTAAATATACACCTCCCCTTGCTGGTTCCAGAAAAATGATTCAAACTAAAACTCAGCATAACAAAAAAAATTCTGTCAGCTAATTGCAAGATAATCAATCATTGAGGGTGGCCAAATATAAGAATGATGGAAACTGCAGTTGTACATGTATAATCAATTTAAAAGGAGACAATGTATAATGAATATGGTTAAACTGGCCTTCTACCACAACAAGAGGGCGCTACACACAATCATGCTGGCCTTCAACAACAATGCTAAGGCTGCATCCGCATATCTTGTCTAGAGCTAGGTCTAGGTCTTCGCTCCATTGGAATTGCGTGGAGACACGCAGACAATAGACCTAGCCGTAGCTCTGGAAGCCCATTTCGGACACAGCCTAAGTAAGTGTAAACCTGATTTCCTTTTCTCTGACTTGGTTAAAACTGTTTTCCCTTTAGTTTCCAGGAAGCACATTGCAACGTCAGTAGACAATTTTTGGAATCTAAATTATTCCAATTGGCAGGTGCCATTTTTCCTTTCTTCACACACTTGATTTAAAAATTGTACAGTGTAAAGTTAAAAAGCTTTAAAATTCTTTTAAATTCACAGAAATCAGTTTAAATTGCTTTGGTTTACCCTGTTCTAAAATAAAATTCTACAACTTACACTGCTTCAACCTTATCGTAAATACGCAGGATTAATTAATACTCAAATTCATTCAACATGCAGTCTGTCATTTTACATAGTCAATCTTCTAGGCTGGACTCAACTTATGATTTAACTTATTCAACACCATCCACTAACACATATTTGACGTTAGCCCTATACAACTAGGTTTCAACAAGTCTTAATTTGCTCATCCCTCACCACCCTTACAAGGCATCGGGAAGGGTAAATGCATGCTGTAAGTTTTGTAGCGCACTCATTAGGAAAAACTTCCATGTACACATGACACGTGTACACTGAGTGTACAAATACCCTAAAATGCTTTGCACATCAACAGCTGTGATCAATGTATTTTTTTTCACATGCTGGAATTAATTTGCCCTACCCAGTCACCTGTGAGGGCTGCTGCAGGTGATAAGCAGTCTTGATTAAAATTGGCTGTGACCATAGCTGACATCTGACCTTAGCTGACAGCAACACATGTGTCTATTGGAAATGGAGTTCGCTGTCAGCTAAGTTACCACAAACAAATGGATTATTGCTGACTGTAGCAAAGGAAATCAGAAAAGGTCTTACTTTAAATATGTTGTTAACCAATTGCTGCCAAGGACCCGTTTTCGAGCACGTAGGCTTTATACATGGAGCCAGGAAACCCGAAATGGGACAAAGGGAATTGGGCGTTGTAACAAAAGACCATACTCGGAACAAAAGACCAGGCTGCTGGGCATTACCGACTTTTTTTACTCTCAACAGTGGAGATAATCCTGCCTTGTTTTGAAACAGTGTACCATGGTTTGGGGCATTTAGAGCAAGCGGATTTATTTATTAGCCACATCCAACAGCAGAAATACTACCAATTACAGGAATGGACATAAATAAACTCAAATAAAATAAAACACTGTAATTTAAATTGTGACATATATTTGCTAAACAAAAACACTAGATAATAAAAACTGGATATGTATGTGCATGTATAATAAACAAAGAGCACACATAAATAAATCAATTACCAGGAAAAACAAGACAAAACAAAAACTATAAGGGAGAATGACAGTGATCCAAAAAAAAGTTGTTGTGGGAGTGGAGGGGAATCAAAACCCAGGGGAGCACAGGTGAAGTGACTATTGAAACAAAGACAAACAATTAACCGCAGACAAACACATAAACAAACATCAAATACAACATAAAATAAACAGACACCTGAACTTCCAGGTAAACAAACATGTACATGTACTGGGGGACTGAGGACACACAAATAAGAAACAAACAAACAATAAGAGCATTCAAATGACAGCTCATTCCCATTAGATAGGCCATGAAGAAAGTGATTAAAATTATCATCAGAAGAAACTCTATCAACTGGTATGTAGTGTGAGTATACTCAAGAGTAGCAAACAGCACGAAAGACCAAAAACAGGACAGCAATGGGACAAAAGCGCTCCACCACCGCAGCCATGAGCCACACGGCACCACTGCAAGCTAATCTGGCCCCTATTGAAAAGAGGACAGCAGCCCACTGTGCCAAGTTTGTGAACAAAAGAAAGTTATATAACACCGCACAATCTGGGCTCTTTTTTACAAGGCTGCAGGCCTGGCTGAAACACTTGGGTGTCAATAGATTTTGTCTGTCAGACTAGAGTGGCCACCAGACAATAATTTGTGGGGATGTAAACTTCCATTAATTGAAATGAAGAATTTGGAAGCTGAAAATCTTAGAAAAGTCCCGATTATGTGCACTGCACTTTTCAAACCACCCGGCAGCAAGTGGTTAACCTTGAGATGGCACCAGTAAATGCACAGGTGACATTGATATGGATTGCAAAAACAATTATTGTAATATTTCCAGCACCTTGGAGGAGTTAGTGGGCTCTCTGAGGATCAGGACGAGATTTATTTACTGAGAGCTCCTTCCGTAAACATCCGTTGCAATTCTTCAAAGAGTTTGGAGGAATCTGTAGCTCCTTGTTCACTCATTCTCTTCAACGCTAAAGCTTGATCCTTGGAACTCCAGTAGTCTTCCTTCCAGAAATGAATACTGTCAACAATAATATCAAATAAATATTTTGGGTGACAAAATCCCTTTCAAATGTAGTCTGTTTTGGAATGTACACATAAGGCAAGCCTACTTGTAGTAATGCAGAACCCATTTTAACTAAGAAGAATTTCTCTGTCCTTTCCATTTAAGGAAGGCAATGCATGCACTGCATACAGTGTATAACGGCTGATGTCAGGCACAATTTCAACTCAATGGGGGGTGCATATTCCATGCTGACATGTGTAAAGAACCATTCCATTCCAGTCATTTGGTACTGAATTTCCTGCAGGAACATTTGATAAGTTCATACATGATGGCAGTTGGAGGGTTAGCAAGTTCAAACATGTCTGGAATGTTGCCAGAACAGCAGGGATTCTGTGCCCCTGGAAAGACTGCCAAGTGCACCTGGCTAAAGCAGAAAAAGTTGATCAACTTGAACTCAACTTGTGTGCCTGCCCCAGCAGCACTTACTCACAGTGGCTGTCAAATGGAGTATTTTTTAAAAGCATTTTTAGCTTTTCTCCTGCATATTACCATCTGCTCCCCCCTCCCTTCCTTCCCTACATAAGTGGGTACTATAGCATTCTGTCCATGAATGCATTTATATAAGCTCTAAGTCACTAAGGGGAGTCCAGGCCCAAATGAATTCACCTCCACAACAAATTATTGTTTGAATTCTAATGTGTTTACTCACTCCTCTCCTCGACCTACTCCACTCATGTCACCAAGTGAAACACTAGGCTCTGGGCATCCCGCATGGTTACCGTCAGCAACCCTGGGTGGAAGGAGGGGGATGGATGGATCTCTCTCGTGGGCCCTCTCTGCTTCAACTCTCTCAACGATGCGTTCACAGAGGTAGCACTCAAAGGCATTGATGAAGCTGGGTTTGCGCCAGTCATTCACGCCCCATACCCGTCGTTCAACAGTATGTCTGAATGAAAAAAGTATTTTGCAGTATTATATAAAACAGATACAATGTATTCAACCCCCCCTCCAAAAAAAAAAAAGAGATTGGGGGTTGACTACTTTGAAGGTGGGATGACTGAGAACTTGAGTGAAATATATTAGAAAGTATAAAGGTATTTTAATATGGCATTTTTCTTACAATATTTAGACAGTTTGGAAATATTTTAATAGGCTTAGACTTTTCTATCTCTGAGCTGCTCAACAGGAGACTCAGTGGCGACAAACATACCGGTCCTTTTTCCTAGTTCTGAGCACGTGCACATTGTTCTGAGCATGCCCACATAGTTCTGAGCAAAACCTTGAAAATGGACCGGTATGTATGCTGTCACCAGCATCTCAGTCTCCCACTGAAGTGTACACATTTTGGTAAAGTTCATTTTATGTTTCAATTATAAGGAGGTAAAATTGCTACATTCAGAGAAGAATAAAATGGTTTGTAGAAATTCCCTTTCAATAACAATGACTAAATAAAACAAAACTCAATAAGGACCCACTATAGCAAGATGTTTTCACTGGTTCCACATAAGTTTTGTTGGGACTTCAACTCTACTACAGTTTGAAGCACTTATGGAAGTTACAATTGCAATCTTACTACTTCATATAATACACAATTGGTATGAAATAATACCTTAATAACTGATTGCTAATTCCTTTGTTTTTAAATTCCAGATATTTCAGGTATTCCTTATCGTTCTTGTCCAAACGTTTGATGAACTCAGCAAGCTCCTTTGGCGATTGAAAATTATCCACTAAAATGATGGAATGATTGTCTGGTATCCAATCTCTGACGGATGGAGACCCCCTGTAGATTGGAACACATCCAACATGAAATGGACGGATCAACTTTTCTGTGATGTAATCCTCGCAGATCCCATTTTCAAATGCTAAATGGAATTTGTACCTCGCGATGAAATCATAGAATTCCTTGGCATCCATTGATTCAACAGGATCTTGCAGATTTTCTGGGAGTTTTTTGTTGTTTACACACTTCCCATACGAATCAACATCAATGTATTTCATTAACTCTTTTACATAGCGGTCTCGGTCTGAAGGAACGTTACAGTGTGTCTGAATATATGCAATAGGAGCAAGTGTTTCCCGGTGTTTATTTTTCATGCTGATGGGAACTGGTTGACGTTCAGTAAGGTAATCAAGTGATTTGATGTGTTGAGTTGTAATTGGATAGTGTGACTCCCGTCGAAATGTTGATGTGTGATTGAACTGTGACATCATTACAGCATGAGAAAAAATCTGGTTGTTCAATGGCGATTCTTCATGAATGACGGCCCACTCATGCCATGGTAACCGTGGCAATGGGGCTTCATAGGCTCGAAAGTCACTCCCATAGAACATCACACCCCTTGCTAGAGGGTCAGACAAAACACTTTTATCTGTTGTGACAAGACATGTCCCCTGTCCACCCTGACTTGGCTCGCATTCAATCTTAACAGTATTTTTACCTTGAAAATGAGGGAACAACTTGTCTGTCCACCAAACAATTGTGGGCAATGATAATGCACTGGACTGCTTTTGCACAGGTTTTACATCTGCAGAAATTGGGTCATCTGGTTTTCCACGATTTAACTCATCTCTACCACGACTTAATTCATCTCCTCTTACAAAGCTACCTTGCGATGACAAAATGTCGCTGAGTGTGTCGTGACCAATACCGACTGCACCGAGTAGAAAGTAAGTTCCCAAGAATATCGCTCCGAACAGCACACCAAGGAAGAAAATCACATACTTCAAACGGAAGCCTTTAATTTGGCTCGACTTCTTCGATAGGGACTGCGCCTGTTCCTGCTGTGTTTTCGTAGTGGATCGATCTCTTTTCCTAAGTGATGGTTCCATAATTATTGACGATTAACAAGACGAACAGATCAGGCCCACAGATAGCACTTATTGTGGAGCAAAGATCATGTGTAAGACCCGCCACACCGGCGCAACTTCACTTCGACACGTGTGATTACGTGTACATATGTACATGTGTACGTGCAGGACATTGTGGATGACTGTAAAATTAAAGGGCGCCCTCAACGGTGATTTGCATTGGTTTTGCAGACCTCGACCTAAATGCATCTGAGCTGGGTGTTACACTTTGACTTTTCCCAGGCACACAACTAGAGTTTTGCTTCCCCGCCCGCTTAAATTACAAAATTAGCCTATGAAAGCGCAATAAAAACAAAGTTGATAGGGAAATTTTTTTTTTAATGATTGTCTTGTTTTTATCGTCTTTTTCTCCCAGGCTGTTTTTACATTTCTTATCCGTTGCCGTGCCGATAACTTTAAACCCGTCTCCGGCTCCAGGTATGTTTTTTACAAGCTGCCCGTTCCCCACAATCACCCTGCACCCCGCTCTGCTACGCTACTCGCTTCTTCACTCTCTTAAAGGAATAAAATTCTACACTAAAAACGCTAGGCATTAATGGGCGCATGTTAGGGCCGTCCATCATTTTCACCGGCGCAAAAACCGTACGGGGCAGGTGTTAAAGACCTCCAGTACGCTCTAGTCCTGAATGTGAAAAATGATGATCCGTCAACGTACGTAATTTTGCGGATGTTGCTAGGCAACTCTGCACCGCTTATACCCAAGTTCTGTTCTATCCTCTACTAGTATTGAAAGATTGAAATTATGTAGGGACAAGACATTTTAGAGTGAAAAATCACTCTGAATTTAGACTGAAAAAGGCTGAAAATAGCCCCTTCGAGTGGAAGCTCGAGTGAAATTTCAATCTTCTGGAGTGAAGAAATTTCACTCCAGAGTCCAATTCGTCTGGTCCTTAATTTCAATCGAGGTGAATTTTCACTCGGATAGAGCGAATTTTCACTCTTTGCAATTTAGAGAGTGCATGTGTTGTTTTAAAAATCTTTCATTTGAAAATTATATTCTGCTAACCACAATACTTAAATGTATGGCCAATGGAGCTCTCCATCCATCATCATGCCCGCTGGTGTTAGGGGGGAGGGGTGGTGAAAAGTCTATTTTTTGTATGAAATGATGAAAATTATGGACGGCCCCTCAGAGCAAACTCTTGTTCATAGTTTCACACCACCAAAACTAAGTGTTTACAAAATATTTGTAATCATAGTTTTGTTTGAATTGGTTTTGAAACAACGTACGACGGTGTGGTTAATAGTCTTCCAACTTTCATATTAATATTGCTCTCAGTGGCGCAGGCTATCCAGGTCTTGGGCCAAGGGGGATTTAGAATTTGATTAAAAAAAAATGACTGTCTTAAATTTTTTCACCTGTTAAAAATTTCGAAAGACGAAGATCAGATGTGATAGTACCTGTACTTTCAATTCCTGTTAAACTATAGAGAACAAATCGTAAAACAGGGTATCCAGGGAGAGGGCAACTTGCATTCCCTGCCCCTCCCCTCATGAACGGTGCGGCGGCGCGCGCGAAGCGCCACTCAAGCCACTGGCAGCACCACGCTACGGAGTCATCAGGTCGCAATAACTGACAAATTTTCCAATGCGAAACTTACCTTACACGTACCTCATTTTTTTGTGTACATGGAATTGTTTGTTTGCTTGTTTTTACAGTTCTCTAAAATTGCAACATAAATTTTTAGAAGTCATTCCGTTTCCGGCCCGATGGCACGCGCACACGTACACGGCCGGCCGCATGCGCCAGCGCCCTGCATGCACTTGTGTCTCCCAGCCAACCGCGCGTTGCATTGTGGTCCCGCGCGACTCCATATCCGCCATTTTGTGTTGGGTTTGTGTACTTTCTTGACTTCGAAGTGTGAGTTACCGGACCGGGTTAAACTTTGTTTTTTTTCTTTCCCCATGTGACTTCCACATTTCATTGGCCATGATTTTCGCTGAGTACCTGCCAGGTGGCTAACTGTGGGCTTCGTTGGAGTTGGAAACGGCTGGTTTGGACAATTCTACAGCCGTTCTGACGGTAACCGCAGTTACAACGCCGCTCCGGTGTCCGCACAGCGCGCAGCGAACGTTGCAAACGGAGTTCGTGATTCAGCCAAGCAATGGGGACTTAGCCGCCTGGGAATGCCTGATGCCGGTCGATTGCATCTATGTTGGTTGTTGATTAATGAACGCCGTTAGCAACACCTGGGGATTCCTCACAGTCTCTGAAATACTCCAGGGAACTTTTTGGTCCTCCGGATGTTGCTTGCCTTTGTCTGCTTGTGAGCCTTTTCATTTCAGGCCAGAATTCACGAACAAATCACGAACAAATGACATGTAATTTTTGGTCTGATTAGAAAATGAAGGTGGTGTTGCTGCATCGTTGCTGATAAAACAACGGTCATGAAAGGCCACATCATGGCAGGCAAGAAGACAAGAAACAGAAATATTCTGTCCTTGGACAGAATGGAAATGTGAGTAGGCCTAGGCCTTGCTAGGCCTGTGCCTTGCTAGGCCTGTTTTTTCTTTCATTTAATTACACTACTAGGCCTAATTCTGAAGTTTGCCCGGGATAATTCTGAAGTTTGCCCTGAATAATTCTGAATTTTGCTTGGGCGAGAGTGCCTTACTTGTACGGAAAACACTTGAGGTCCT